CTATGGCTCAGTCCTAAGTGGGCTGGCTAGCTTCACGACTTACCCCAGCGCACTCATCCCGTCGCTGACCCGCACACCCCCACTGTTAGGAGTGGTTCTTATGTAATGCAAATGTTACTACTGCTCAAAATTATCCAACAGCCTTTCATTATCTCCAGGATAAAAGCTGAATTCCTTAGCACTGAATATAAAACCTATAATCTGACCCCTACTTTAATTTTACCTTCAGTTACTACTCCTGGCCCCCACCAAATTTTTTATCAAAAATATTGACTGTACAAAGTCACTCAGACATGCTAAGTCCAGAAAATACTGGTGCATTTCTTACCCAAAACTACAATGAAAATCTAGATACTAACTTGGCAAACAGTGTTAAAAAGAACATTAAAGAGGTCAGAAAACATTACCTTGAGTTTTTGTAATTCACCTTCAATGTCTATTTCCAAAGTAGGGTATATAGATTTGTATTGATTAGCTAGAACTTTGAACCTGAGAAATGCAGACAAATAAAGACATTAGCTCTCTTTAAAAATATTCAAATATCATTAGACATTCCAGCTAATTTCTTCAGACTATAAGTGGCCCAGTGACAAACTAATTCTACAGTTGAAGATACTTTTTGAGAAAAAAAAAAGATTTAATGAAGGAGATCAGCCATCTGAGTATTATACACTGAAAATATTTTTTCAAGTTTGAGACTAATGATGTAATTAAGGTGATTGTTGTAAGGAGAAAAAGGACAGAATGATAGAAATCTATAAACACAGAAGACTTAAACCTAAATTAATTGTATTATATAATGTAAAACACAAAAAGAAATGGTCTCCATGATACTTGGAAGAGAAAATGGCAGACATTAGCCATGTGTCTCTAAGATACTTCAGTGGCGGTATCTTGTCATTCCAAACAAATTAGCTGCTGGTAAAAAGAAAAGCAGGTCATTAAAGCCCCGGTGTCACTTGTTAAACACAACCAGTTTCCCATCACTAAGTCACTGTACAGCTTTTGACAATTACAGTCAGACATGGTGCTGTACACCTATAATCCCAGCTATTTGGGAAGCTGAAGCAGGAGGAACCAAGTTTGAGGGCAGCCTGGTCAACTTGTAGAGGTTTTGTATTAAAACAAAAAGTAAAAAAGAATAGCGATGTAGCTCAGTATCCTTGGAGTCAACCTCCAGTACCAAAGGAAACAAGACCCTAGAACATAGTGATTATACCAAAATACCACCACACCTGCTAGAACTACTCTATTTGTCAACAAACCATCCCATACCTCCAATTCCTAAATATAATTCTGACTTTGTCTTCTTGGAATACTGCTGGTATTATGTTATTTATAATAATGTAAATCTGAAAATAGGGATAAATTAGAATGAAGTAAAAATAACTTTAGTATTTCGGATAATAATAGCAATAAGCCAACCATCACCATTTAACTAGAACACTGAACTTACCATTTTGTACTCAAGGACTTAAAAACTGTAAAACTCCATTTGTTCTTTCAATTTTGGAACTTTAAGTTAGTTACCTCTCAGAGAAGCCATCAAAGTCAGAAACAAGATCACACATCCGAAGTCCACTCCGAGCAGCTTTGGAAGAGTAAACTGGGCCAATGCCCTTTTTTGTGGTACCCAAGCTTAATAGGGAAAGAAAAAATGATCAACCAATTGCACAAAAAAGATACAGGTCTTACAGCCAGACCATCACAAAGAATGAGTTATAACTATTTTCTACTTATGTTACTTCCTCTAAGTTTATCTTCTGATCTTATTGATTTTCCCAATAGCTACACAAGATGTTCTATTACTTCTGGCCTAGAACTTACGCATGAAGGTCTAAATATGCTTGTACCATACAGAAAAAAAAAAAAAAATCTTACTTTTTTCCTGCCTGTTCTTGTCTCTGTTGTTCCTGGATACCATCAGCTGCTTGATGAAAATCAAATACTGATGGGAAATAGTAAATAAATTCACAGTTGTTAAAGGAAGTACACAAGAACAAAATATTTTTATTTCAAACTACTGAAGTTATGAATCCTTCCGGCCTCATTTCATTATGACAAATTACAGATAAAGTTTTAAAGTGATAACAGTAGCAGCAAGGACCATCTGGTCAACTGGCACATTAATATGAAAATATGCCGGATCTTTCACCCTGATATATTAGTCTATATGACTATAAAACTGAGTCATTGAGAGGCTGACTCTGTAACACCATATCCTAAAATTATACAAAACTCATTATACAACGTTTTCTGACTTTAAGTTCTGAAGTCCAGAAGCGTAGCGACCATCCTGACCCTTCCTTCCTCCTCACTACTCCTACTCCCACTATCTACGCTCTCTCTCTTTTTTATCTACGCTCTCTCTCTCTTTTTTTTATCTACGTTCTCTTACCAGAACTACACCTGACTGTAGATCTCTTTTCACTTGTGGACATTTCTAACCATTTTTCCAAGATATACATACAATCCCATTACTCCTTTGCCCTTAAAAACTCCATAGTTTTCTATTACTCTAAAGAAGAAGACAAAACTCTTTTATGTGTGGTGTCCCTATAATCTGCACTCGGATCTTACACAGTATTCCACCCTCTGGTCACACAGGCACTTTTTGCTGTTCTTGAAAAGGTGTACACTTCTCCTGCACACACTTTCACACTCAATTCATTCTCATATTCTCTCTCTCTCTCTCTCTCTCTCTCTCTCTCTCTCTCTCTCTCTCTCCCCCTAACATGTTGAGTATTAGGCCAATGTTAATAGTGAAACTGTGCCAACAAGTTCCCTAAATATTCACTGACTCAACAATAGTTTTTCAGTGAAGCAGGCCTAGAAATCTAACCAAAGTTTCTGGGTAATATTTTATTTTTACACATCTTTATGTAAACATAATTTAGACACCATAAAACTTGTCCATGACAGTGCACTGTTTTTTTGTTTTGTTTTGGTGGAACCAGGGACTTAACTCAGGCCCTTGTGCTTGCAGGGAAGTGCTTATTCCACTGAGCCATCTCCCTGGCCCGAATAAGTCCCCAAAGAACACTTTTTTTTTTTTTTTTCTGGTGGAACTGGGGATTGAACTCAGACCCTTGCACCAAGCGCTTATTCCACTGAGCTACCTCCCTGGGCCCCTCAGTGCACTGTTCAATACCACCCATTAATTGCAGTCCTGAATCCATTTACACACTCTTCCCTAGTTTTCTCCTTTTGAGATACTATTGAAACTGTACAGTCCTCTCCTCTACTTGACAAGAAAAACCACAACACCTTGGTAAGATCAATGGATTTCTCTTAGGACATTGTGACATTTTATATACAGTTATACATGCTAAATATATGCAAGTACTGTATGATTTTAAATTGTCTAATCAATACTTGTTTTAGTATCACAGAAATAGGTTAGCAAGATCCATAAAATCATGCTAGTACATTGCACACCAAGAGACATACACAAGAATGTTCACAGTAACATTTGCTAGCCCAATATGAAAAACGGGTGAAATGGATAAATTGTGGTACATTTTTATAATGAGATAAACAAACAAAAACTCTTTAACACTAATGATGAATCTTACAGACAGAATGGTTAGTGGCAGACCAAAAATAAAAACCTGCATAATCCTGAGTTTTATAAAAAGTTCAAAAATAGAAAAAACTAACCATGATGAAAGAAAAAAAAAACAAGGGTTAACCTGTGATGAAATGGAGCAGATAATAAACAAGAAAGGTCAGTGTGGTTTTTAGGACACTAGTAAGGCTCTATATTTTAGGAAACATGGTGATTAAATTAAAAATGTGTTTTTTGATGCACATGCATATATTTTGATGTTTTACAGCATACTTTAAAATATCAACATTTCTAAAACATGGATTCTAGACTTTGGGGGCCAGAATTGTTCTCAAGAATTGTTTTAACTAAAAACTGTTAAATTAGTTATGACAAGAATAAAAACTCTGCAATTACATAGGACTTTGATTTCTATTGTCAAAGAAGTTAAAAAGGTAACCAGCAACCCACAAGTGGCTGATGGAAAGCAAGTAAGCCATATTTATTCTTTCTTTCTTTCTTTCTTTCTTTCTTTCTTTCTTTGTATTGAGGACGGGGTCCACAGGGCCCCACTGTGTAGACTGGACTCGCAGTGACTCTATTTTCAGCCTCCCTAGCACTAGGATTACAGGTGAGCACCACCACGCCCAATCTCCATCACCATCTCAGCATGCCCTGGGGGCGGGTCAGCAGGGCAGGCCCAGGGATGGAACCCTGGCCAATGTGCTCTGCCTAAGCAGGCGCTTTAGTCTGCTGAGATTTCAGGCCGGCCCAGTAAACCATATTTTCAAGAATTAATTTAGCACTCTGTCGCAAAGCTAATGTTTCCCTAGGCTGCAGGAAGCTATTAGTGTAATCACAGTAATTACTTTCTTAAGGTGTCATCGTGGCACGAAGCCTTCTATCTCCACATTTAAAATTTTATAAAAACAGTGTTTGTTTGAAGTTGCTTTGAATACTGCCTGTAGTATCTATAGCTACAGATGCTGGGGGAGAGCCACCTTGAGAATCTGGTCTAACTTTTAAAATTAAAGATAATGGTACATCTTTAGTATTTTCACATAGCTAAGTTTGGTTTGGTTTCCTTCCTTGCTTCCTTCCTGTGCCAGGAATGCCACCCAGCACCTATGTACACTAGGCCCATGTTGCGCCACTGAGCTACTCCTCCAGCCCTGTGGAGTTTAAGCTGCACTGGGATGGATCCCACGTGATCCTGCACGCATGCAACATTTACTTTGCCTGCTTTCTTACACCTCTTAGGCTTTACCCAAGAGTCACCTCTCAGTGGACCCAGCCTGGCCACCTACATCAGGACACATACATATTTAAATACAGTTTGAATCTGGATCAGTCACACACAAGTCTTTTGCTCGGTTTACCATTTCTACTTCTCATTCTTGGTTTCTGTCTCTTAACATGTCACTGCTAATTAACAATTTTATTGGCCCAGAAATGATAATGGAAGAAAACCTCAAATGTAATGGTGGTAGATGAAATTAATTTTAGAATCTAGCTTGCTTAATGCAAAAGACTAATCTGAACAAAAAGCAGTAATTACACTGTAGGCAGAAAGAATCACTCTAAAGATTTGCTGGAGGGTAGATATACTTTTAAATGAGTATAAATAAATAAATGCTCTTTGTATTTATACATGGCCTATTTTTAAAAATGTCTTACAAAATACCACTGTTCTTCATTTGTTTTGCTAGCCCTATCTTCAGAAATAGGCATATTTCAGTCTAGCTTTGCTGAAGAGAGAAAAGAAAAACACAGTAACGTTTTATGTATTTGGAACACAATTGTAATATATCCTTGTTAGGTTTAATAAAAGACAAAATTATTAAATTCTTTCATTTGATGAACATGATAGTTATAAGGAAGTGCAGCATGTTCTTACCAATGTGAGCTCTGTCAGATATAATGAGCCTTTTTTCCCAGCCTTCTAGACCTACAGGAAAGGGGAGAAAACATAGGAGATGCTCTTAAACTTCCTTAAATTTTAATTTCTTTAAACATAGAATGTCTAATGGTGTTTTTACTAAAGCGATCATCTTGGCACCTTTTACACAGGAAATGTTATGTTTAACAATTTTTCTCATTTGCCCTTTATTCAATATAACTTTATCCCTCCAACACATATTCTGCTCTAAAAAGCTCCAGTCTCAGAACAGTTACTTCCACAATAAATACTTCTAGGAATGGAGAAGGAAAATGGCTAGGAAATATTTTGCTGGACATGGGGGTGGGGAGTTCAAAACCTACTGGGGGAAAAAACTCAAGACAAGGGAGTTAATTTTAGGGGTGGCATCTTTCCCAAGACAATTACAAAATGCGCTACCACACAAAATAATGACTATGTTCCCACCAATTCTTCCATAGTCCTGTCAACTACTACATTTATGCTGAACCACAATGAAATACTTGTATCTCTCCCACAGAACTAAGCAGGGGCTAAGTGCTTTCACAGCACCGAGCTCTGCACGGAACACAGTGGAGAAAAAAGAAATGACTACTGGATGAACACAAATAGATATTTAAGACAGTGCCTTAGTAGGCTTCATGTGTTTTAAGGATTAAACTACCAAGCCCTAAACAGTTCCAAGGCTAACATTTCTATATTAGCATTTGTTAGGACTAGGGGAATAGCTCAGTTGTTCTCTGGCTGCCAAGCAAGCACAAGGATCTGGGTTCAATCCCTGGCACCACAGAAATATGAAACACTTAATTAAAAAATTGCTAGCTTTGATAATATCCAATATTCATTCGGAAGGTTTATTCTTTATAGATTAAGGAGAACTTCCTTGATAATATGCTAAAAAGTAAGAAGTAAACTCAGCCCAGGAAGCCATAGCCTGTGTAGCTGCTCTGCCCCTCCGCAGTGCTGGAGACACAACCTGAGGCCTTCACTCTGAGCTGTACTCCGAGTCCCTTTCTTTATGCTGAAACACGTTCCAAGTCTCCCAGGCTGGGCTCAAACTTGCAATCTTCCTGCCTCAGCCTCCCAGAGTACTGGAATTACAGGCAGACACCATCATGCCTGGTTTTCAGTTGTTCCTGACATGCAAGTAAGTTTTCAAAAGTTAACTTTCTCTTCTAAGGGAAATATGACAAAGCTCATGGAATTGGACTTAGCAGGGTCAGACAAGACAGAAGCGTAAATGAAGTAAAGCAAAATGATTCAAGGAAGCAGAGAGCAGCATGAAACTCCAAGTCCACCAATTTAGAAAGCAGGGACTAAAAGACAAAAAAGATAGGGAGGACAACAAGGGCGGTCACAGACAGGGTTCTAAAGTTAGATGCAGTTGTTAAGAACGCTTGAAGACGGGCTGCTCCCTGAATGACAAACTTGAACAGTAAGTAACCAGAGCATTTTACATGAAAACTAATCTGAAGGGCAACTGTATGAGTGATTTTCCTCAGTGGTGTAGTATTTATGTTACCAAAATCCCATCACACCCTAACGAGGTAGCCAAGTTGATCAGGAAAGCAAGGTGAAAGCCATTTCTCTGAAAGTGAGGGGAACAAAAGCACTGCCAAACGGAGCATCTCTCTCAGTTGGAAGGAAGCTACTCTCTTTTATCTGAGCTGCAACAACCAAGGGTGAGCTTTTGGTCTGGGAAACTCTAGCAATGAACAACTTGTGAATTTCCTAGAGTTGTGCTATGCACACATAGTAATTGTATACCTTCAGATAAAGTTTGAAGATGGTCAATGCCTTAAAAAAAAAAAAAATCAAAATCCACAAGAGTCTGTTTTGTGCTGACTTATAATGAATAAGCTTCAGCAAGAAGTACTGAAATTTTTGCCTTACAGTAACCTGAAATTTTAAAGACAAAAGTGTTAAATTGTCCTACATGATATCCTAAAATATTCTAAATATAACAGATTAACAGATAAGATTCCTTCTTTCATACCTTTTCCTTTTTGAACGTTTTTTTCTGCTTCTTCAAACAACCCAGGTAGGTGAATTACCACACCATTTCCTAAAGGAAACAATTCCTCACCTTAAACATTTGTATACACACATCTATAATAACTTTTACCTAGAAGAGTAAAACACTTAAACAGGATATTCTGATTTATCAAGAATTTACCACAGAATGAATCTAAGTTTTAAACACTTGTTTAACATAAATAATAATTGAATACAAAGGATATAAAAACTAAAATTACACGCAAACTGGAATTTTTAGGAAACAAAATGAACTATGATAACCAGTAGTTTAAGAAGAACTGTGCAGTTTGGGTCACAATAGACTAAACCAGTGTCATTCAAATCAGGGAGTCATTCATTAATGGTCATAAAAATCACTTTAGTTGGGTGATTAGGACTTTTAAGAATTAGAAGTAGAGTACAAAGCATTCTTTTTGTTTTGTTGTTTGATTTTTTTCTTTTTTCTTTTATTTATTTATTGTTTTGAAAGTACAAAGTATTCTATCACATTTTTCAATAAGGGTTCAGAACCAAATCTTTCTTATGGTGAGTCACAGTTAAACATACAAGACTTGGAAAACTAATTTGATCATCTAACACTTCTTTATAGAACTATGATGTCAATGATCATAGCTGCACACCAAATATTTATTTCACAAATTATTACTATGAAAGGATCTGAAAGGGTTACAAATTGTCAAAGTTAGGTATATTCTAGTAGCTACCACAATCAAAATTAATGCAGGAGCAATGAGCCATATGGTCAGTAAGAAATGAAATCAGTTTTGATAATGAAAACTAAACACAACTATTAATCCCCAAGCAGTTCAACTAAAATACTTACCAATGAATGCAGTGACATTCGGGTTAATTATTCCACTGGGCAGAAGATGAAAATCATATTCCACAGAATCTACAACAACTGTATGACCAGCATTATTTCCTCCCTGAAACAATAGACAGAAAAACTGAGCACGACAGTATGAAAAATAACATATCTCCTTCCAAAGTAAGTTAATAAAATTCCTAAGGTGTCAATACAACTTAATGAAGCTCAAGTATTTGGCATGTGTATTGGTGAATTAAAGGCTTTACAATAGTTTGATTGTTTCAACACAGCTGAATAGTTTGGTTTGTGTTACAACGCAGTTGACTATCAGAAGTACACCTAAATATTGGAGAATTCAGGTTTTTGAAAGACAGTTATACTCTTTTTTTTTTTTTTTTTGCGGAACCAGGGATTGAACTCAGGCCCTTGCGCTTGCCAGGGAAACGCTTATTCCACTGAGCCATCTCCCCAGCCCCAGTTATACCCCTTTTTAAAAAGAAATATGTGGGCCGGGGAGATAGCTCAGTAGAATAAGTGATTGCCTGGCAAGCTCAAGGGCCTGGGTTCAATCCCTGGTTCCAATAAAAACAAATAAATAAAAATAATATAAAAAGAAACATGTGAAAACATACAGAAAATAGTCTGGCTTTGGTACTACATATGTGTAAACACCCATTTAATTATCCATGATACTTTATACAAAACATTTTCTCAAAGATAGAGAAAAGTAATCTATAACAATTAGCCTAACTTGATGCAAATATTCTCAAAATTCTTTTTGTTCTTAGAGCATGCAGAACAACTTTGTATCTGAAATCTGCATTCTTACATAGGCTGAGTTAGGATGTCTCCCAAGTAACTCCCCTAAATATTGGTTACCTCAAGACTAATTTATAAATCAGCCTTGAGCATTTACCCGGTTAGACAGACTGCTAGAACCTGCCCATCTCTGGATAAAGGTATCTATATTGCTCAGAATCACACTACAAAGCCATGGTGAATTTTCTAATCTATGAAGTTTATGTCTATCTGGTCAATACAACAGTACAATAATGAATGAAGTACAAAGAAGACAATTAGTAAGTGTCCGTGTAACATTTCCAAGCTTTAAAATGCAACGAAGAAATTACAATTCAATTGATTATGTATTTTAAATTTCATAATTTTAACAAACTTATAAAAATAAATTAAGAAGCAACAAATTAAGAACATTTAACACTGTGTGTGACATTAGGAAAATATAAGACAAAACTATACCTCCTGAGAATGATTAGTTTGTCTTGATTACAAAACCATTTCTGCAATAATAAATATTACTGGCTTTTTATAGAACTCTCAACAACCATGAATTCACATAAATGCAAGAAAACTAGTTCCTGTTTAAAAAAAAGTTTCAAAAAGTAGCAAATGTTTATTCTACTGTTTTTCTCAGTATAAATAATTCCTGCTTGAAGACGAATACTTTCAGTAATGTCATATACTTAAAAAAAGAATCAATATAAATGGTCATTTGACAGCCCACAGGCTGTCATGGGAAGTAGGAAAGCACCAAGTCCTTCACAGGACACCAAGAAAATGGGTAACACATATACACTCCCTTACTTTAACATTTTACTTTTTAAGATTTTTAGTTTATTAGTCCATGTGTATAGTATAGAATATTTATACTCCTTGTGGGAAATTGGTTACTATTTATTTTAAATTAAATTCAGTCCAAGCTGAAAAATGGAAAAGTTCAGCTATAAAGAACTAGAAACCATACTTTGAGGCAAACCTTACACAATCATTATTTTTCAATAACCAATGTAACATTTTTTTTTCAATAACCAATGTAACATTAAGGATTATACAGTTCAAATATCTTCTGAGTTAGTTGAATATGAAAATTGTGTTGAATATACCCCAGAATGTCCCAAGATTATCTTACTAAAGACCTGGGAGAAGCTGGTCATCATGGAGTACCCCTGTCATCTCAGTACTGGAGAGGCTGAGGCCAGAGGAAAGCTGCAAGTTCAGGGCCACCTTGGGCTACAAAGTAAGTTCAAAGCCAGCCTGAACTGCATAGTGCGACCCTGTCTCAAAGTAAACCAAACTCTTAGGAGAGAAAAATAAGTACTTATTTATATTTGTGACCCATGTGAGAGATGGGGTAGGAACATTTCATCTCAAACACCGAAGGGTACTGAGGTGAAGTGAGAAGAAACTACATGCAAAGAGTTTCTGGAAGAGGTGACCTATGTAAATGCAAGTCTTAACACACTGTCATATTTGTGAAATGCAACATATGAAGCATCACATCTAAAGTATCTTTTAAAATACTAAGTTAAAATATAGATTTGTGTTGTATGCCAAATTCCCCTTGGGAACTCAGTGAACTGTTCTCAAAGATGATACTGATCCAGGGAGAATTCACATCCTTCAGCAGATAATGGTTTCAAACAGGAGCACACTGCTGACTGTAACTGTGCCTGCCCACTTACAAGCTAAAAGGACAAATGGAGCTGCCTGCCCACAGGACACTATATAGCCTGTGCTAGGATGACCAATAGCAAGGACGTGTTTATTTAATCATGTTAGCGATTCTCATAAGGCCAGATTGTACGAAATAAAACGACGGGAGAGATTTTTCTTATTCTAATTGTTTTTTCTTTTTGAGATAGGGGCTTGCTGTGCAGTTCAGGCTGGCCTTGCACTCACTTTGTAGCTCAGGCTGGTCTCGAACCCACAATGATCCTCCTGCCTCAGCCTCCCAAGTGCTGGAATTACAGTTGTGCACCACCACGCCCAGCTTCTTATTCTAATTTTAATAGTTACATTGTTCTATTAACTCAAATTTTCCCCAAATTAAACCTGCTAAATTATACTCCAAAAGCATTAACCATATACGGTATTCATTTGAACTGCTATATATAACTATCTCTTACTGCTTTGCTAATACCCGACTCATGTACTAAATACTTTTCATTATTATAATTTCATATCCTATGTTACTTAATTAAATAATAGATAAGTTATACAAAAACCTATGGAATTACAATTAAAGATAATGATCTGGATCAGTATCAAAAGGAAAATATTTAATGATTGTCAAATTTTTAATTATTCCTTAAGTTTTTAATATGAACTGCCCCCCAAGAGAAAACAGTGAATCATGTTGTGTATATGAAGGTTTCTTTGAGGAAAAATGTAAGTTTACAATGGATTCTGTGATGTTTTTCCAAGAATAAATCAAGTTAATTGAACTAAAATGTAGAGCAAGCCACGCATGGTGGCGCGTGGCTGCAATCCCAGCACTCTGGACACTGAGGCGGAGGCAGGAGGATCATCAAGAGTACGAGGCCAACCTGGACTGCACAGTGAGACTATGCCTCAAAAAAATAAATAATAGTGAAGAACATACAAACAAAAATTTAGCTAGCATCTCTTAAATGTATCAAATTACTTTGACTACTATCCCCAGCCCCACCTACCTTCCACCCTTATACTGGGGACAGAGCCCTGTGCTCCTACACGCTAGGCAAGCATTCTACCACTGAGCTACATCCTCAGCACTTGACTCTTGCTTTCACATTACTATTATTATCATTATATTTAGTATAAATTCAATTAAAATTCCTTAACTTATAATTTACCACTTTTCTTTGACTACTACCTACCTATCCCATCCTGCATAATAAATATATAATTATAATATATAATCTTTTTGATGACTAGGAAAAAGTGTCCCATCACAGAACTATGAAACAACTAGAACAGCATGATTGAAACAAAAGAAACAGAACCAAAATTCTTCTCAAAGCTGAAAAGTAATGTTTTTGATGTATCGATTTAATTTTTACAAAGTACATAAGTTAAATACAATTAAAATAAAAAAAATTAACTCCAAATATTTTTTCTACAAGAGAGCTAACTAGAGGTCTACAGTGTTTCAAGACTGTTGGACTTTCCTTGTGTGGTGGATTTCATTTATTGACTTACATATGTTAAGCCATTCTTGCATCCTTGGTATGTAGCCAACTTGACTATGAATGTGTTACATAAAAGAGCCTCTTTAACAAATAGTGCTGGGAAAATAGGTTATCCATGTACAGAAAATTGACACCAGATCTGTACCTCTCACCCTATGCTAAAATCAAGTTAAAATGGATCAAAGACTTAGACATAAAAAGAGAAAACTATAAAACTTATGGAAAAAAAATAGAAGAAACACTGATAACATGCAAGACTTTCTGGACACAACTCCAGAAGCACAGGAAATAGTATCAAAAATAAATGGGATTACGTCAAATTATAAAAAGCTTCTGCATAGCAAAGGAAACAGTGAGAAGACAACATAACAGTATGGGGGAAAATTGTGCTAGCTATTCTCCAAAAAGAAGACAAACATCTAGAGTATATAAGGAAATCAAAGAAATTACTCACAAATGGGCAAATGAATTGAATACTGACCTCTCAAAACGAGCAGTATAAATGAGCAATAAGTATATAAAAATGTTAACCATCTTTAGCCATTAGGGAAATGCAAATCAAAACAACTCTGAGATTTTATCCCCGGTTAGAATGGCTGTCATCAAGAACACAAAAAACAACAAATGTCGATTGGATGTGAGGAAACAAAAAACCTATACTGTTGGGGACCTAGCAGAGCCACTATGGAAATCAGTATGGAGATTCCGTATAAAACTAAAACTAGAAATTCCATTGGATTCTGCTAGGACTCTCCTGAGTATATTCTCAAAAAAGTTTAGAGCTCTCACACTACCACAGTGCTACATGTATACCTACATTTATAGCAGATCAATTCACAATAGCTAAGCTTAAATATCCATCAATAGATAAATAAAGAAAAAATATAGACACAATGGAATATCATTTAGCCATAAGGAAAAATGAAATCACGCCATTTGCAAGAAAGTAGACGGAACCCGAGACCATAGTGTTAAGCAAAGTAAGTAGATATGAAAAGTAAAACATTGTATGGTTTGTCTTATGTGAGAAACCTAAACAATATGTAAAGGAATAAAACAAATGGAATAAAATAAACAAAAAGACTTTTGAAGATGGAGATGGGGGAATAAAAAAATTATCAAGATGTTATATACACTCATTAACTCTCCA